AAAAAAAGTTGATTCAATACAAATGTGTGATGGCTTGTCTGTGTAGTTACTTTTGTGAAATGTTAACTTTTCCAGCTCTTGGTGAGAAAATCTGCAAAAGTGGTGAAGTTTTTTTTTTTTCAGTGGTGGTCAGTTGATTTGCCACCAGAGTAAATTACTTCAAGGAAATGGCACGTGAAGTTTTGTTTGTCATCCTCCACTTCCAGTTGTACTTCATAAACAGTGTTCTGTTGGTCTTTTCAAACATGGGCTCAGGCCAGCTCTTTTTGAAGTGAAAGATGAAGAACTGGAGGCTTTGCTATAGCAATAAATAGTGTTGGAACAGAGTTCTTCAGTGCCGGACACCTTTTTCAGATGTCTCAATTGTAATTATTTATTTTTCAGCAATGTAAAATCAAAGTGCCAGTTTTCTTTTGCCTTCCCTCTTTTTCTGTTGTGTGTTTTTTGTTTTAGTTGCTATCTTCATGTCTTCTAAAAAAAAAATACCTTGTTTGTTTCTAAATAGGACGTGGCAAAAATTGCACTCATTGTGGGATGGGAAATTGATACTTGTTTTCTCTAGATGAAGAATCTTAAAAATTTCTTCTTATAAAGACAGTTTAGTCACAAAACTTAAATTTCTCATAAAAATCCCTGTTTTTTTCTATATGACAAAATTTTTTTGTTCCTCTTTAGCATTATTATATTTTTATCAAACTTTGGGGTCCTCAGTGTTCTCCGTTTTAAAAAAGAAAAAGTGCATTTAATAACTTAAAAATAAAATAAAATTGTTATTTGCCCAAAATAGCCTTACACAAAGTTCTACTCAGTTTGCTTAGTAAAGTGTACAGTGACATGGCCATTTAAAAAAAATTAACAAATGATTCAGTCAAGTCAAGTAAAAAGGAATTCTGTTTCATTACAGCAGCAGACCTTCACCTGCGGTCTCAATGCAGCGTTCCCCAGACATGAAAGGAACAAAGCAGTCACCAGTTAAGCAGGTCTGTATGTGTACAACTACTCTTGCATTCTTTGGCCCTCCTTGTTTGTATTAAAAATCTTGCAAGTATGTCCTGGTGTCACAAATGTTTTCCTGTCCATGTATGTTTTCCTGTTTACAGCAGCATCACTGGAAAACAATGTTAAATTAGCATTAATTTGTCTAATTCTTCTGTTTTTTTAATAGATGTCTTTGTATGAAATGTTTGCATATGAGAGAAAAGCTGGAACTTTTCCAAGAAGCAATACCATGATTAACAGGTACACTCTTCTAAGCATTATTAGTACAGATATTGTTGGTAATGCAGTCCTTCAAACCAATATTCCACTCTGAAGTGACCATAAAAAATGTTTGATTGTTAGTAATTAGTATTTAAAGAAAATAAAATAAAAAAAGACGACTTTAACCTTGTAGAGCAAGTTTTACTAATTTTAGAAGTGCAAACTTTCTAACTGGCTTCAAATCTAATAGGAATAAATATGTTCATAAGAATGGAGTAACTGCAGCTTTATATTGGGTACTTTTAATGTGGCCATTCTTTTTTTTTTTCCCAGTCAATGTTTTCTATGCGATGGCTGAAACTGTAATGGATTTTAAATTGTGATTTAAATAAGAAACTAAGAATAATACTTTTCAGTTAAACATAATTAAGCTGAAAAGTTGGCAAGCTGTGCCTGCATCTCAAAGATGGCAAAACTGAATGTATGTCCCATGCAGTGATTGTAAATGAGTGTGTAAGTTTAGGTTTCTGCCTTTTTGCACTAATCTGGAGAAGACTGAGACAAGTTCAGGTTCCTTGAGGTCAAAAGAAATAAAACAAGCTTTTGCAAAGGGCAGAAAAAGTAATTTGTTCTCCACGACTGTGTGTAGCTTCAGGTTTAAACCCATCTTGTATTTCTGAAAAGTTCCATTCTTCTTTCCAACAAGCATCCTGATGCTTGCAGAAGACAGGAAAACCAGAAGTCACTTAAGCTGAAAAATTGCCACTGTAGCTGTATGGAGAAAAATTATTTTAGGGACAGCTACAGTCTAAAACAAGTTATTTTGCAATTTGCTTAGCAAAACAAGGAGAAGATACTTATTCTAGTTTGTCTGCCTGTAGATATTGCAGTGTAATGATGGCAGCCTAATTAGAGGTAAAATTTCCTAAGCACATGAGCCTGTAGGCTGGTTGCTGTGATGTTCTCTTTATGCAGACATGCCTAGAGGTAACATCAGCTAACTCTGCTTACAGCACAGCAGCCGTGCCTTTGTCACTGATGCATTTAAAGTTATTAGCTCTTTTTGGCAAAAATCCACGTTAATGGCCACGGGTAGAAATGCAAGGTGTTTCTTGTGGATGCTGTCAGAACAACATGAATGGACAAGCGCTTCTAAGAATACACTTTCTTAACACTACAACCATCCAGATGCAGGTAGTGATACAGATGGTTTGTTCACAAAACAGCAGTGTTTATCTGCGTTTTTTTTTTTAATAGCAAGAGGCTATTTTTAATTTCTAGGACCAGTCGCAGAGGAATTTTCATGAATTTGGTTATGTGATACTACTAATTCTGCTCCAGTCAGCTCAAGTCCTGTCTTGGTGCTGCTGCCAGCATGAGGTGCTGGCCACAATCTGACTATGCTGTCAAATAGCAGGCAAAAAAAACCCAAAACACAACAAAAAAAGCAAAACAAATAAGGTTGCTGCTCATTTCAGCGTTATATGAAGTTTGTGAATGAATTGATCAGACACAAGTGCTGACTTTATATGTAACTTTATCAGTCCCACAGAGCACTCACCAGTGAAATCTCCTTTGAGGTCCCGAGTACCCATTGTTTCATCCCAAGAAAATGAACTAGAGGTAAGTCTTGGGAAGAGAGGATATCTGCAAACTGCAGTCAACCTGTAGAGCACAGTTCTGCTGTATTGGAGCAGCTGTCTTGGGCAGCTCTTTGACGCTACAAAGATGTTACGAGTAGGAGTCCTGAAAGAGAATTTGAATGTGAAGTTCTTAAAGGGTTGCAGGGATTTTTGTGTATTAGTGGAAAGATTAGCGGAGCTATAATTTTTCAGCTCATATTTGAATCATTTTTATGTGCTTGATTTAAAGCTTCTTTATGAGAATTTGGCTTTTCTTCACAGACTGCTCTCTATGGCAAGTTGCTGACTGCTAGACAGAAGGTAGCTAATGAGAAGGTAATTCCTCCTGCTGTCTTGGCAACCAATAAGATCCTGGTGGAGATGGCCCGAACGAGGTAAAGCCAGCATATGTACATAATAAAAAAAACTCAGGGAAAAAAAAAAATCACAAGCCAAGTCCACTTTCTTTCTGCTTTTGTTGGGTAACATGTCTCATTTGTAAAGGAGTAGCATTTTTCCTGATCAGTTTAATTTGTCATAGTACCCTTGTAGACTACTTACTGATGTAAGCTGGAAAGCTGTATACATCAGACTTGTCTTCCTTCTAGTGTTGTTTGTTTCTTTTTAAATAAAATGCCAACTTTGCATGTTGTCCGATTCTTACCTTTCCAACTTCTTTTCAGTGTGTTCTAATTATTTTACTATGCCCATATGCTGGAAAGGGTTGATAGAGGTCAGGAACTGTTCCTGACATGGATAGCTCTGTAGCACAGAAGAAAAATAAAAATGTAGTGTTGCTCTCAACTACCGAGAGGAAAAAAAAAAGATTTCACTTTAAGAGAGTGTATCGTAGGGCAGATAAGTATTTAATGCATCTGAAGAGCCTTCCTGAGCTGTTATGCAGCATTAGATAAGAGGAGTACCTGGAATGTGTATGTTCTTTCATGGAATATCTCTAGGCTTATATGCTTTCAGGAGGGAATAGCAAATAAATAATAAATGCAGCTAACACACTGAAGTATTAAGCAGTGTATTTGAAAATTTTTGCTGTGGTCAAGCTTCAGGATAGAGAAGTGCAGGCAGAGAATTTAATGCCAGAGATGATAGTACATTAATAAAATTTTCAAGTGGTGACTGATAAATCTGTAGTCCAAGTGCATATCATTGAGACACTTCATGATTCAAAGCATCAGTACAGACATATCCATGCCTTTCATTATTTATCCTGGACCAGGCCTACAACTGTTGAAAACGTGAAAAGAATTGATGGTGTATCTGAAGCCAAATCGACAATGTTGGGCCTTCTCCTGGCTGAGATTAAGGACTTCTGCCAAGCAAACGGTTTGCAGGTATGGTTTACTGTTTAGGTGTCTTCTAGCATGCAGGAGCCCTAAGGATCATAATTTGATTTGCAGCTGTTGGATTCCTCCTTCAGTGTTTGTCCTTAATACAGTTTTCCCATCCAGGCAGGGCAACCTTACATATAGGCTTTCAAATCCAAATGTTCTACATAGTAATGACATCAGGATCTGTCTGATGTTATGGATTGGTGTTGTTAGGCATACTTATAAAGACCACCTGTCTAACCAGGTTCATGATGCCATATTATTAACAGCTTGAAACTAGTTAATTGTGATGTGGGTTTGGAGACCAAGGGTATAGGAAATGGGCCCACCAGGTTATTGCTTCAGTAGATTTTGATGGAAGGACTCATCTTTTTTTCTGTAAGCTTTTCTTCAGCAGATTAGTAGAAGTCCAATGTCTGACTTTTATCAAAACTGTTGATTTACTTTTGAGATTTCCTGTAAAGTAGCTCCTCATCAGTCTTGCCCTCATAATAGTAAGAGATACTACCAGAGAGGGACTGTGGAGCACAGGATTGGAGGTGATATGCAGTAGTTTAAGGGGGTGAATTCCCATGTAAATCTGTGGATACTGGGATTAGAATGTCTAGAAAGCAAGTAGAGCAGTAATGCTACTTCTGTCATGATTGAAATAATTCCTCACTGCATTAAACATCAAGTCATATTTCTCCTTAAAAGAAAGCTAATGGACCTAGGTATGGGGATTGAAACCGTTCCTATTTTTCAAGAAATCTTTGTTAAGCTGAAGTTGAAAATACATGGAGGAATTTCCCATACAGAAACAGGTGGAATACCATAGTTTGTTCTGATGGCATAATTTTCCATATGTAATGAACACCAACTGAGTTTTGTGTTGACACAGTGTTTTTTGGCTTTTTCCTCTTGAGTTCATTGGGACAGTCTCATACTTGTTTTATTAAGATGGAAATATATGAGTATCCATCCTGATTCTCTTCGCTTTTTTTGTGGTCAAAACAGTCTGCATGGCAATGAGTGACTCCATTTCTGTTACTTCTTTGGATAATGGGAGGGTGATTCATTAGTTGTTACTGAGATATAATCCTTTTACTCCTCTTTATCTCACTCAGACGGACATATTCCCCAAACCTGAATCTACAGATCAGAAAGAGACATCTCCTTGGAAGAACACTAAAGCTCTGTCTCCCTCAGAGCATGTCACCTATGTCCTGTTCCAAGAGAAAAATCTCTCCCTGGTAAGTTCCTCCCTATGGCGGTCTCTTCCTCTTTGAAAACTAACAGTGGTGATATTTTACCTAAATACGTAGGGGATTTGCACATTTGTTCCCTTAAATCCTCTGCCAGTGTTGGGAGGGGTAGCTGTAAAATACCAAAGTGGTATCTTTTGATCGGCAGGACATGGGGCATAATTTCTGCCATTATTTTATTGGCACATTTTAGTAGTTTGGGGCAATGTGCTTTACTGCTATGGGATTTAGTTCCATCTAGCACTGTATCTTTGTCTTCACACAGTAAGGGCATGTAGAAGAATTTCCTGACCGGGAAGCTTGTGGGGAAAATACACTAAGCACGGGGCTGTATACAGTCATGTCCTTAAGGCTAATAACTACGTGGATAAACCTCACTAACCCTGTTGCATCTTTAGATAGCAAATCCCTATTCCTCTGCCTGTGCCATGTCCATGTGTAAGGCTGTAATGTTGCAAAGTGGAGGTCATATGGAGATTCAGTGCAAAACATTAAGACTAGGTGTCAGTGTGGATTTCTCATTCAGACTTTCTAAAGGTGTTTTTCTTGTTACAAAGAAAAGCTAAGGTCAAGTTGCATCTAAGTTGTTCAAGTGCTCTTGGGCCTGTGGCTAAACTGATATCGTACCATGTGCCCTGTAAAGATGAGCACCATGAGTCACTTCATATAGTGTCCTTTATTGCTTTTTAATTCTGCAGTAGAAAATCGTAGTTGTTTTGAATTTTATTTCGTCCTTTCCAAGAGTATGGATAATAGCTGTCAGGTAGTTGCTAGCTTAAAGTGCATGCAGAGGCTAACAAGAAGCTTTTGTATAGTTATTGGATGGGTAAATTGATACTCTGCTTCCATTAATCCTCATAATTTTAATACACGGCTAGTCTAATATCCCTGGAGAAATCATTGAAAACATGAAACCTGGTCTTTGAAGGCAGAGAAGTAACCAGAAAACCTTGAAAAATGCAAGTTTAGATGGAGTAAGTTTCAGATGTTTCCTTCAGTGCAAGTATTTCCAGATAATCATTTATTAAACAAACTTGAAATGGAAATTTGTTTAGGTACTGTTAAGCATGTTCTTCTCTGGCACTGTGAATCATGTGGACAACTAGCAGGTCAAGTGCATCACAGCTACTTAGCAGGAAACATCTGAGGCTTTGTCAAGGAAGTACCTCATGAAACAGGAGCTGTTTTGATGTTCAACTATGAGACAAAAAGCATCAATTTCCTTTGTACTAGAATTTGCTGGCATTCAGCTTCTATTGAGGGTGGAAAGTGGACGGTATTTAGTTGTGGCATAGGAACACGTGCTATAAACAGGCTGAAGGTGGTCACACAGCACCATTCCTGACAGGAATCTGTTTTTGTCTGAAGTAGTCTAAGGTCTCATTGCGCTTGTGCTAAGAAAACTATTAGTCTTGAGAGAAATATGCTCTTTGAGCTGGAAAATAAGTCTGAGAAATATTAGAAGAAATAAAGTGTTTGTGAGTTGGAGAGTTGTTGCACAGCTAGCTATGTGCTGGTATGCCTGGTTGGTTTTTGGAGTACAGGAACTTGCCAGGCTTTCAGTTGTATTTCAGACACTTCTGCCAACTTAATTTCCTCTTCCTTTGTTTCCCTAGAGGACTATCAGTGAGACCAGATCTCTGCCTCTTACTGAGGTTGGCACACACTTGTTCCAAGCACTGAAAGCTGGCTATCCTGTCAATCTGGAACGAGCAGGTTTGACTCCTGAAGTTCAGCAGATCATTTCTGATGTTATCCGTAATCCTCCTATTGACTCAGGTGAGCATCACAGCCCGTCTGAAGCTTCTCATGGTAGTGACATGGTAATGAAAGAAATGAAAATTATCACAGCTCTGCTACTGCTTTAGGTTGCACCTATCATTTTTTGGAGATGTGGCTATAGCAAGGCAGAGCACTGCAAAGACAGTTGTTGCTTGCCTTTCAAGTTTATTTCAGACTAGGGCAACCAGGCTTCATTAAAGATCAAAAGAAGGTAGCGCTCTACAGGTTCTTCCATTTGACTGTATTGTGCTGGAAAAGATTCAGGCACTGTTCTTAAAAGTGTGTTTATTTACTCAGTTGAAAGGCAAGCGAAGAAATTGGTCTGGCAGAATCTTTCCATATGTACTGGCTTATGGACAATATGCTGAAGCAGAGCTGTAAAATTTCTGCAGGGAAGCTTGTCTGCAAATTGCTTATTTATGAGGAGGAAGCAGGATAGTGCAGGAAATACAGCTCTTCATCTTAACTCTGTTATCTGGTACCACAGGCTAGTTCAGAAGCTAGAAGCAACCACATACAGATTTGTGGTTCTGCACATGAGGCACTGAAAGTTGAGTCTCATCCTAGGAGTCTAATTACTTAAGTTTACGGAATTCTTCTCACTTGCCACTTGCAGTACTCCTGTCCCATTGCAGATTGTGTCTTTTTTGCAGCATCTACAGGCCCAACCAGACTCAGCTTTACTTTCTTAAACATACTGCTGTGCAAGTTCTCTTTCGAGCACGGCAGAAGAGGGGAGGCTATTCAACCTGTGTATATAGCCTTCATCTCAAGAGAAAATGGTTGACAGGAGGGGCAGGTTAGAGTTAGGGTGATTATGATCTTTTACACTAAATGTGAGATGGTATGTTTCCGTGAATGAGTTGGGAATTGAGCCCATGAACTCGTGATATAGTTTCTTATGGAACTTCTGGCTTTCCATGACTTAGTTCATCCTTTCCTGAGAAACAACTGATGTATTTTACAATATAAGAAAATAGTCAATGTGAGGGCAATTAAAAAAAAATAAATTGTATTTATATATTTTTTCCAAGACACCACCAAAACTCAAGCAATTAGAAAACTTGTTCCTGCAAATATCGAACTGTATCTCATCCAGATGACTATTGCATTGTTGGAGAAAAAGGATGGCAGTAAATCTAAGTATGGTTCAGGTGCCAAAAGGATGCTGGTGTTGTCAGACGGACAGCAGGAAAAGACAGAAGCAGACAAGACAAGTAGGGGCAAAGCTTTGTGGAATGGAAGAAAGGTTAGTAAAAATCTATAGAACTAGTTTTGTGAAAATGATGTTCTGTCTTTTTAGGAGCAGGCCAAATGCTGTTTGTTGTTGCTGTATGCAGTACTGCTTAGCATCTCCATCTTCCCAGTCTACCTTTTCCTCAGCTCTGAATAAGAGTCTTTTTCTCCTCTGAGATTTGACCAGGAGGTTCCTCTCCTGAAGTGCTGACCTAGCAAAGAGATTAGCCCCCTGGTCAGTCCTACTGCTGTATACCATTATAACTGCAACTTAATAATGAGCTCAGAAGAGGGATGATCATCTTCTGCTATTGTCCAGCCATTCAGAAAGTGAATGTAAAAGATACTCTGTAAAATCCAGGAGTTTTGAGTAGCTGAGATAATGGAACAATATGAAATTGAAATTTCTGCCCAGTATGAAAGCTCTACGTAAGCTGGACCGTTTATAGACAGTCCATGTTCTGCGTTTTTTGGTACCTGATCACCAACCTAATGTGGGAAAACTGAATCCCTTTTTGTCTAGAAAGTTCTAAGACATTCATGAGTGCCTCTCTTGCTCAGGCCACTGGATGTAGCTGTAATAACAAGAAAAGTGTCAGGATGTAAGTCTGAGTCACTGGGAGAAATTTCCTCTAGAAGGAAATATTGAGCTTGCTACTGCAGTTTGAAAACACTAGACCAGCCTTTCCAGCCCCATGTTTGCCTCTCAGTATCTTCACAAGTTGCAGTTCAACACTCTATACAAAAGACTGCCCTCTGAGTTGCTCCAAGTCGGAATGGTAAAAAGAAATTGCAAACTGTAACTCCTTTTGCTGCTTGCATGCCCAAGGACTTCATGTCTGCTCCTTACAGAGGTTTGGGATGGTTTCTTTGACTTGGGGCAAAGATAATGTTTTGTGCCTTGCCAAATTGATTGTTTCTTGCCTTTCTGAGTACTGTTTTGTTTCTACAATAAGTGTCTGAGCATGTTTATTTTGTTTCCCAAACTTGACCTGGCAGTTCAATTGTATGAACTGTGATAACTTTTTTTTCCTGCTACTGATAGCTGCTGGAGCTAGTAACAGGGACATGTTAATAGAGATAGACTTAATGTTGTACAAACGAGCAGACTGCAAATGTGTAAAATAAATAAATAAATAAATAAACTAATCAAAATAGACTTGATTTTCTCAGAAGAAATCCTCATTCTAATAATTTTTTGTAGTAAACAGCTAAACAGCTTTTGAAAATTGCAATGAATGTTCTTTTTTCCTTTTTTTTTTTTAAACATTATGTTGTTTCTTTTGTAGGATAACTTGACCAATCCTACACTGAAAGAAGGAGATGAAAAAAAACATCTGCAAGTGGTGCCCTCAGCTTTGGTAAATAGGTGTTCTTAATATAATAAAGCATGCAGTAGCCATTAGCCATTAGTGGTTCTCTTAGTGAGATTGAAATAATGAATCAGAAATGCATAGTTGATGCAAAAATCTTAGCTTCAGTTGTTTCCATCGGTGTTTCCAATGCACAGGCATGATGTAACAATCACAGGTTAATAGATTTTAATAACGCCATTTTCAACTAACACCTTTGCTTGAAAAACATGTCTGAAAATCATAGAATCATAGAATGGCCGAGGCTGAAAAGGATCTCAAAGATCATCTAGTTTGACCCTCTGCTGTGGGCAGGGTTACCAACCACAAGACCAGGCTGCCCAGAGCCACATCCAGCCTGGAAAATACAGCTGTGGTGACATGCAAACAAGTATTTTGAGTTCATGGAGCCACTGGGACAGAGGGTATATTCTTCCTCCCTAGAGGAGGAAATAAAGAGAAAAAGAAAAGGCCCAAGTGAAAATTTTAGTTCCTTTATTAATAATGAATGCATTTCACTTGCTCAAATTTTGTTTTGGTGAAATGGGTAAGAAATAGCTAAGGATATTATTAAGGAGAGGTGTTGGAACTCCTTTTTATAGTTAGACTAATTTACTTCCAAAACATCTAGTTTGTGCTCTAATACTGTGATAACAGTCTCCTTTGTTACTGTTCTATGCAAAGGCCACCTGGAGCACAGATGATGCTCAGCCAGCTAACAGGGGTACAGCAGACCACACAGAGCCCATCCAGTTGGCCTCCAGGAACCAGACAGCCCTCAGTACTAACAAAGAACTGTTTGCTGACACTAAGCCAAAGGTGAGGTTGCCAGTAGCTCTGCCAGGAACAGAGCAAAGAGGTGGTGATTTCAGTGTTGATCTTAAAGCAAAACCCAGCTAATGTTTGAGCTCTTTCTTGTGCATAAATCCTTACCCTGAATTGTCATTCAGTTTCTCATGGTAACGTGCTTGATGCAGAACAACATGTCTCTTGTCTTGCCCTTGATGAGCCTGAGTACACCACTTCTACAGAAGCACCCTGCTTTAGAAAATTTTTCCCTAGTAGATCTTGGCAGCCCTCTAGCGGCAGTTGTTTCCAAACACCTCAGGGGGACATTCGGTTCCTTCTCCAAGGTTGTGTGAGATTGCTGCTCATCACACCAAGGATTCCTGTAGTGGTGTTCATGTAAACAAGCTGTATGAGCACAGACACTGCATTTCTCTAAAGGTTGCTCGTATGGCTCTGACCAGCATCACTTGCTGTACAGCATGTCTCAATTTCCAGTTTGAGGCTGGGAAGTTGATGTCTGCATCATGTTTTGTGTTCACAAATCTGTTATTCTGGTTAGTTTATCCCTGTCCTTTACTAAGTCTGTAGGTAGGTATAATTCTTAAACAACATACCAGCTATCTTACCTGAACCACTGAATGTAATGGAACATTATTTACTGTTGATAGCCTCAGATCTTTCAGAACATCAGTTTTAAGTCCATTTTTCTGAACCAGGAACAAAGGGAATCAGTGTAATGATTTGTGCACACCTCCTGCTCCACCTGAGCTTGTGCTGGGAGCTTTGGTGATGTACGTATCTCTTGCTATTGGCTTTTCAGCAGTCTCTCTCCTGCCTGTAGATCAGTCCTGATGCAAGTCCTTCTTACGAGATGAATGTCTCAACAGAAATCAGTCCCTCCATTATTTAAAAATTGGTGGCTGAATGGAGAGTGGAAACCCATTTATCTCATGGCTGCACGCTCTTACTGGAATTTATGCTTTGTGTTTCTGTGGCATCCATTGAAAGATGCCCTGTGGAGTTGCAGAGAACATAGCATGGTCTGCAGAGCTGATGCCCCTTCTGGTCAGAGGGTAAAGGGCAGGCACCTGTGGCATCACAAGTGGGCTTTAGTAGTCATCAGGGAAGGTAGCTGACACCTGGGTACCTCAGCCTGGTAACACGTCAGCAGTTGGCCTTCTCCCTCAGTGTCACACAAAAGAACTCTTGTTACTTTATTTGCTCTTTCGACAGAACTTTTTTGTTTTGTTTCAGTACAATTCCTGGGCATGACACTGGCAGAGGTGTGCCAGTGCTTTATGGCAGGCCTGATGATTCCCTGCCAGCTGTTTATTTATCCAGTCAGCTGCTTGAAAAAAGCCCTGCAATTGAGGGAGACACAAGCCTTCCACTACCCTCATTAAGTTGATGGGTGTCTCGTGACAACAACCGTTTGAGGCACAGAGCTGTAAGTTACAATTGAATATAGAAATGTGTTTTTTACACCTTTTTCTCTTTGCAGAGCTCCGAGCCCCCGGGTAAGAGGAAGGTGCCTGCATGGTTCGGAGCCTCAGCAGCCCCTGTTCTCCCTGTGCCCCAGACCAAGAAGCCCAAAGCAGATACAAGAAGAGGGATCTTCAACTGAAGATTAGTTTTTGTAAGAACTGTTTTCTAAGATGTGTACAAAATGCTGGGTGTATTACAACAGCGGCTCTTTTACGTGAACCAGTGATGCCTGATCCCTTTTTTCTTCCTCCTTTGCGTGAGGCATTTAAACTGAAAACCAATTCTGTGCTATTTTTCACTGTGTGAAATCTGTCATTAAACCAGTCCGAGGCAGCAGCTTGCAGCCGCCCCTGCGTCCGCCATCTTTAGCGGCCGCGCATCACCCGGCGCTGCCCACTGCGGGGCGGTGCAGGCGGCGGCGCGGGGGCCGCTGGGAGGGCGGTGTTGCCCAATAGGAGCGGCGCGGCGCGGCTCGGCCTGCGCCTGGTGCTGGCGGGCGGGTGAGGCGGCTGGGCCGGGCCGGGCCGGGGGGGAGCGGGCGGCAGCCCCGAGCTGGGGCAGGGCTGAGCCCGGGCTCGTCGGGCGGCGGGCGGGCCCGCGATTTGAGGGTTTTACGCCCAGGGGAGGGAGCCGCTTCGGTGCGGGTACGGAGGACGGCCTCCCGTCGGGGCCCTGCCTGGCCTCGCTCCGCCCGGGCGCCGGTGCGCGGCGGGCTGCGGGAGGTGTCCTCGTGTGGGGACGCCGGGGGCGGGTGTCGGGTCCTGGCACGCACCGCTCCCTCTCGTTGTGCGGGAGGCTCAGGGCCGGCTCGGAGCTGCTGGAGCGTCGCGTTGTGTCTCGGTGCGGGTTCCCTCAAGTTGGTTCAGAAGGAGAAGGATGCGGGCAACGAATTTTCGCCTGCACATACCCGTATCCTTAAGCAGCTCGCCGGTCCTCTAATTCCCTTTTCTGGTCTGCTGGTTTCCTGCACAGTGTTATGGATCCAAGCTTACTGAGGGAGCGAGAGCTGTTCCGAAAGCATGCCCTCTCCACGCCTGCGGTGGAGAAACGCCCGGCGCCATCCGCTGAATCCTCGAGCTCAAAAAAGAAGAAAGTAAAGGTAGAGCAAGGTGGCCCATCGAGCTCAAAACAGAGCTCAGGTTGGTAATGGTGCCATGCTCAACACCTGTTTGCTGTTTGCCACTATCTGCCTGTGTGTTTATTAGCGTGAAACAGTTTGTCCAGGAGTTCTGCTAGCTGTGGTCTTTCTGAAATTGTCCCTTTTTACTAAGACATACATTGCACAATGTTTAAGTAAAATTTTACCTGTAAGGTCAGACATCATTCTGTGACTTGCTTGCTGTTATTCAGTTGAAAGAATTGTTACTGCCAAAATGGTAATTTGTAGGAGGCTGGATTTTGCTTGTCAGTAATGTCAGTAAATGCTAGTGAGAGGGTGCTGAAAACTAATCAGCTGAAAGTTATAGGCTACTGTGAGATGAATCTTGTAATCTGTCATGTTCTTTTTTTTTTACCTGGGAGCTAATTTCTGTTCATGAACAGTAAGGCTCCCATAGTTTTATTTTCTGCCTTAGTTGGGAATTCCATTGTTTCCCTGTAGTGGTGGCATGGCTGACAACATACCTCCTAAAATGAAATAAGTAGTTCTTAAGAGCACTACCAGATTTAGTGTGAGCAAATGAGAAGTGCAGTACGGAGAGGATTTGTGCGCACATGGTGCTCTACTCTCTGTTTCCCTTTATGGGATGGGTAACTTGGGGTCATTATGAGTAGCTCTGCAAATCTAAAATCATCTCTTTCAGCCATCCACCGACCACCCGCTAAACAATGTTTAGTGTTTAGTGTTACCCACTAAACAATGTTCCTTATTGCCACCTCTGTGTGTTTCTTGAACAGCTTCAGGCTTGGTGACTCCACCACCTCCTTGGGCAGTGCCCAAGCACTCTTTTGCATAAGAACTTTTCCTAATACCCAGGCTGAACCTCCCCTGGCACAATTTGAGGCCATTCCTTCTCTTCCTATCGCTAGTTAAAATACTAAGGATGATGGAAGGAGCACAGCATCTCCTATATGAGTGAAGAGTAGGGAGCTTGTGTATCTTGAGTTTCTCAGAGCCTTAAGGACACCAAATGATGTTATCAACCAGATATTTTAAAATCAAAAGAGGTGAGATTTCTATTTGCAACTTTTGCCATGCTGTCTTCCAAAAAAAATTCATGGGATATCTTAGTATACACTTACTCAGAGGGTTTACAGGGAAGGAGCAGTGGACATACAGTTTCACATGCAATTGTTCTGGAGGATTTGAGTAGCTATGTGGGCAAGCAGCTGAGTAAAGAGTGTGATTTCTTGTTTTGTAGGGTAGGCTTTTGGTGGTTTTGTACATGAGAATGCATGACTGTGAGGAGATATGCTTTATCTTTAATGGTATTGGCTTTGTTTCAGATGATATCAGAAAGCTTTCAGGATTTTTATACTTTTATGCACAGTGAGTACAGTCTCCTTTCATTTTTCCCTGTATTTACTAACTACTGCAGAATCATCAAGGATTGAAGAAGAGTAATGGAGAGTGAACCAAGTTTTCTCTCCTTCTTAGGAATTGGCTCAGAACAGGTGTGCAGAAAGTCAAATGACAGAAGGGGTGAAGCAGACATGGACACCACAGTTTCCCTGTGGTGCTGCAGAGTCCAAGTCCTCTGCCTCAAAACCCAGTTTTTGTTTGAATTGTCAGATTGCTAGGTACCTGTCAGGATATGTGTATGACACGGAGAGATCTTGGGGAGATGGAGTAAAAAGTGACGCTGAAGAATTCCCACCCCCTTTGCCTTGGGAAAAGTGAAAACTAAGAATTATTCGTGGTTCTGTTGTGTAGTGACCATAAAGATGATAATTAATGTCCCAGTAAATGTGTGAAATGTGTGTGAGCACAAGTGATCTTTGGTTCTGCAGAGCCTCCAAATCCCCTATCATTGTTTGATTCTGACTCTGAGAACTTGCCTTTAGCTCTCATTTGGGGAGGTGGGGCATGGAGATCATGCTAAACGTCAGAGGACCACACAGCTAAACATAGCCTGCATCTGAAGATTCCTTGTGAGATTTCCAATGAGAACAGTTGCCACTGTTGCCTAAAAACTGTTGTTAGAACAAGCTATCTGACTGCCTTGTTTACTTACTTCAGAGTGGTAATGAGAAAATAAACGAGAAGGATCATATCTTTTTCATTTCTTTTTATTGATCAATAGGATGTCTTTATCTGGAAATCTTTGTCTCAGTGGTCTTGGTCAGCAAGAGCTGAAATCTCTGGAAGCTTTTTCCACAGCTTTGCTTTATGTGAAGAAAAGAATTTTCCTGAGGCTCTGGAGCTGCGTAAGAGGAGATCTTTCTTCTCAGTTCCTTGTTTGCTGCCTCCTATATAGACCCATGAGATCGGTAGCTGGAGAGAGTCCCAAGACTTCCTGTTGTGTGTGCTTCTAAGGAAGGCGTGAGAACACAAATCCAGTGTCACAGCAGCTAGTGTTACTTTCCACATGCTGCCTTCTCCTGTGCAGGATGCTAGTCTTTCAGGACTGACTATGAAATACAGTAGAAGGTAATGAGATGTCTCCCCAGTCCAGAGTGCAGCACTGACATTGTCATCTTCACGTGTCCTGCTTTGTATCCTCAGTTGTCTTGTACATGGGACGTTTGATTCCATTGGTTGTGCTTATAGTTCAACTTCAGTTAAGAATATTCTATGCCTATGGGACTGGTACTAGCAAGGCTTAACAGTAGTAACTGTGTAGAAGATGAAAGTTTGCAGTGGTAAATGTGTCAGTTTGTGACTGAAGGAAGGAGATAGCTTTTCTGGATGAACCATTGGAATTTTTTGGGTGGTGGCCTGGGTCTTATTCTGTCTTACTGACCAGGAAGAACATGAGTTGAATTGGTGAGCCTTTTGGTGTATGTGTGTGTTCAAATCTTTCGGAGCTTAGGCATACTAACCCTGAGAGTGGGAGTTCATGTATTTAAAAAAAAAAAAAAAAGATAGTGTTCATGGCACTGAGGTACTTCTGATGGGGATAAGGCAGCAGGAGCTTACTCGTTTGTAGGCTTTGCTTTTCTAATGTGAAGAGTATCATTTGTTTATGTAATTAAATATCTTGTCCCATATGTAGCTTCAGTCTGGTTGAGATGTTTCCTGCTGGCCTGTTTCTCTCTGTGTCCAGCAGCAAGACAGAGACTTAACAGGCTGTACTGAAGGTTGTGCTGTTAATTGTTGCTATTACAGCTATAATTTGTAAAAACAAAGCTTTACTGTTTGAAAACCTATAGACGCAACACAATACAGAGGAATGATGTGGTAAGTTACAGGTAAAAGCTGATAGTCCAAGTTTTACATGTTCAGCTTGTGAGAGAGCTGAGAGGGTGAATTCTGAAATGTATCTGCAGGCTGATGAAGTGAGCTGTAGTTCAGTTGTGCAAATTAAGGTTGCGTCTTGCTGTGCATCCATCCCACTGTCTCTTATGCTAGGCTTATCATGATGTGGCCTCCTTTGTCAAGCATATCAGCACCTGAAAACTGTGCTGCTTGGGAGAAGTTATTGTCACTGTTCTGGGAAGATTGCAATCTGTCAGCCTATGTTTTGGCAAGAATTCTGCCAGCTGTAGTTCAGCTTTGAGAATATGAGATAGGAGTAAGATCATCAATATGTCACATTCCCTGTAGTGTCATAGTTGGCATAGAGGCAGCAGCCTTGGGACAGAAAGATGGCACTGCTTCTTCTAGGCCATGATCCCACTTCAGTGTGCTTTTGTGGAAGCAATAAGATAGTCTTAAGGTAGTGCAGTAGTCATGTTGCACCGCTCAGGAGTAATTAAACAGGTTGAAAATAAAGTAAGGGGAGTGTGGTTGTCTGGAATGGGAGAAAGGAGGGAGAAGGGGTCAAATTATACTGCAGGAGGTTAAAAAAGGCTATTTTGAGGATGAATATCATCCTGGCTTGTTTCCCTCCCACCACCGTATTTTCTTAAAGTGGTGAACCCGTAGTAAGAACAATTGCTGAAGGCAAAAATTCACACGAGGCTCTCATGGCATCTCTTTCCTTTAAATCCTTCTGTCTTTCATCTGTTTTTTCTTAATCTCTTATGTCTGTCTTGTCCCTGTGTGATTCACCCCAGTGGGAGAACAGTGCTCTATCATTGTGCTATGTAGAATTGGATTGTTGAGCATCTTTCTAAATGTTTTCTCTGGCTAAACAACATAGTTTTATGCATGTTAAGCAACACCATTTGTTCAGGTAGTCAAGCATCTACTCTAGTAACTCAATATGAACAACAAAAATTCATGTAAAGACAAACCAACTTTTCTTCCCCCATAACAATGCAACAGATCATCCTTCAGCTAAGTGCTCAGAAAGCCTTTGCTGACTGTTTAAGTTCACAGCTGGAGATATAGTTGTAGCAGTTATCATTCTATTTAAGTCCAAAAAAAAAAAGCATGTAACTCATTTGTCCATAAGGTAGAGGTGGTTTTGTTCAAGGTGTTAAATGGTCTCCACGTGCTGATAAGTAGCCTTTCCTAAACCACCTCCGTTTCACGCTTTCTGAAGCTGTTCAGCATTGCTCTAACAGGATTGGGTTCATTCTCCAAGTCTTTCACAGTTTTATTTTTCACACAGCAGCAGCAGTCTAGCATTTCATAGAGGAAAGCCAGCACCACCAGAGAAACTACGGTAAAGATGAATATGATCAGAATAACAAAGCAGGCAGTGTTCCAGTTATCATGAAAAGGGTAGATTTTTTGCACTTGAAAGCCCAGATATTGGTAAATGGATGTTGTTTCGTTCCAGTGAGTGGCATTGAGAGTTGCCATTCTTGAAGAGTTGTCTTAGTATATTCCCTGTCACAGATTTGGGGGCTGAAACAGAAAAACAAAGCTGTTGAGGACTCTGTTATCAAGAACATGCTGTGTTTTTTATCCCAAATTAGAAAAACTTTATCTCAGACTGTTCTCACACCTCCTACAAAAATACATTGCGGAATACACATACTTGCTCTCAAAGTATCAAACCAAAAGGTGCAACTTGGCAGTTTGTGAGGAATGCTGATTACTGTTCTCTAATGCATGAAGTAGCATCAGTTATTCCAGACTTAAGCAGTTCATTTTACAAGTACATGTGAAGACAAGAAGGTTACTGTTTTCTGGATGTACAGGGGTTGCAACAGCCTGTCTGTCCTTACTGTTGACTTGTAGATTTGAAAGCAGTGCTTAGAACTTTCTCAATGTCACTAGAGTTTGTGTGTTTTCTTGTGTGCTTTTATTTCCTCTATTGACATAAAATAAATCCTTTTTTAAAAAAGTGTAAATTGTAACTGTCTTGGAGGATTTTTTTCAAAGCTGAGCTTTTCATTGTTCTTCACATTCACAAAAACAATCCTGGCTTCTGAAAAATCCTTGTTCTGGATTTGCCCGTCAGTACTGACTTTTTAACACTGCAAAACCTCTCCAACTCAAAATAAATAAATAAATAAATAAAAAATAATAAAAAAAAAAATCCTGAGGTGTTCCTCAGCTGTTCGTAAGATTCAGCTTGAGAAATGCAGCTGCTTCATTCAGCTGGCTCTAACTCTGAGCATGTTCCTTGGAATCACAGAATATCCTGAGCTGGAAGGGACCCCTCAAGATCATTGAGCTCTCTGTGGAGCCAGCAGTTGGACCACCCAAAAATCTGTGCTGTGCTCATTAGGACAGATGGAAGGAACACTCAGCCCAACCCCTTCTGAGATCTGCCTTCTTGTTTTCAGTCACCTTCTCCACTTAACTCATCCCTTATCCAGTGCTGCCTGTTTGTATCAACAGGAGGCAAGACTATGGTGTGGGAGGAAGAAAGTGAGAAGCTGGCTTCAGCAGATACGCCTTTGGCATGAGTCATATTGCTGTAAAGATGGTCTGTTTCAGAAAGGCCATTGCTAGGAAATGTGAAAGTAAGTGGTGTCCCAGTAATTGCTGCAGTTTATCTAGAACAAAAAGCAGTTTTGTCTGTCTCTGTATTTCTCTGAGTTACGGAAGATGAGAAGTTTGGCAATAACATCTTTACAGTTGGGAGTCTTTCCCCAGTTTCTTTTTTTCCCTGGCTTTGTCTTCCAAAACAGGAGGAACTTGCAGTACTTTAGATATATTTTTATTACTTTAAGACTATATACCAAAAGAGCTACAGCAGCTCATGTTTATTTGGCTTAGCTGCTGGAAGCTGAGGTAATAATCTTTGAGTCCTTCCACCAATTTAAAACCAAGTGTGGGAGAAGGACGTAGGTTCAGATGACTGTATTCTGTTGAGAAGGTAGCAAGTTTTTGGGTGCAGTGGGGTGCTGAGCAGTACCTGGGATGCCAGCCCCTGCCTGCTGTGTAGGCTCATTAGTCAGCGTGTGCCAGTTAGCAGGCAGCTCCCAAAATACACTTTTGTCTGTTCAAGTGCTCTAGAGAACATGGACTGTGGAAGAGGGAAGAGCTAAGAAAGTGTTGACTGTGTAGAAACTTGGAGTCTTATTTCCATGTCTTAATAAATGGGAGATTTTTTGCTTTCAGCATGAAGCAAAAACTGGAAACTTTCCTATATTCATTGAGAAATAGTCTTGGCTATCTACACATAATTAAATCAGTAATTAAAACAGCAGATTAGAGTCAAGACCAATGTTTGTTAAATTGAGCCTGTAGATAGTGCTGTAACAAACCTTACAGACGTACTTCTGTAATCAGCCTGGTAAGGAAGTGAAAACTTGAAAATGTCCGAAAGAGCAAGAAGTGGCAAAAGAGAACTGTGATGGTGTCTACTGAAATGGGTTCCTTAAAGCAGTTAAATCGTTTGTCGTTTTTTCTGTATCATTATTTATAAAGAAAGGCGTATTAATGAAAACCAGGATGGTACAGCCAGGTCAGCTTGTGACGTACGTCTTGCTGTAATCATTTAACAATTACACACTTGGCTCTTTATCTTTCCATCTTCACTGGATCTAATTGAAACAGAGCAGCGTTGCTGCTGAGAAGGAGCCCTATCTCTAGCATTTGACACAGGCATTTATTGGAGGAATTGCAGTACCTTGCTCACTGTTTCCTCTCTTAACTTTGTAGTTGAGGCTGTACGGCAGGGCAGGTAGACATCAGCTGCTGGTCGCTGTAATTACCAGCGTGCTAAGCTGGAGGAGCCATTGCCGAGTCTTTGGAATTAGTGCAGCACTAATGAGGGTAGCATCTTTGAAAGCTGTCAAAAAATGGGCTGCTCTCAATGGGCTGCGGGTTTACTTCCATTGTAATGGCACGATTTAAATTTGTGTTGTAAGCCAGTTCAATTTGTATGCAGTTCAGCACCTGCAACATTTAGTGAGTTAAATATTTAATGAATTTGGTTCTATAAAGAGGGAAATGACTGGCAAAGGAATGGTTTCAGAGCAGTGCTGAGGAAGTCCTGTTTAAGAAGCCATAATAGGTATCTCGGGGTTTACAACCCCCCCAAAAATACATTTACAAATCTCAATGCATTCTCACCTTTTTGTGTGGTACCCAGTGCTACAGTATTGACAATAGTAATGATACCCAAGGTGGTTGTCTTCCTACTCTAAGATACTGATTTCTGGAACATGTTTCTAGCATACCCACAAACACACATTTCTTTTAGCTTCTGCAATTGATGAGGTTTCAAAATACCCATCTGTGAGATACATTTGTAAAATTCCAGTTTTAATGATCGCTTTATAAGGAAAATCCTTTCCACGTCATTTCTGCAAAAACCCACCATCTGTAATGAGAGTGAGACTGCAGAAAGCAAGCAGCCTCACCAGTAAGCATCAAACCCATTTTGTTTCCTGAATCTGGGCTTGCTGGGTTGCTTTTCTCTAAGATGGAGTGGTCATCAGTTTGCCATGAGCACGCAGACGGTAGAAGTGTGTGACAGTGAAAGGCTAGCACCCCGAGTTTGGCTGAATACAATCCAGCTAAACCTAGAGAAAAGCAATCCTTGTTCTAAGAGGCTTTTTACAGGCTCGTATGTTACAGGCAGCAATCGAGGCAAACGTAAGGCAGCATTATAAAATGATGTGCACCTACCTCTTGTCTGTAAGGATGCTGAGCGAGCGCCGTGCCGTTCCCTGTTTTAATGCAGCCTATGGCACAGCTAAGATGGAGCTGTGCTGTGATTGGCTGGCGTGCGGTGCTGCTGACAACTTCCTTTATGCTCATTTCCATCTCCCCCTCACCCCCAGGAGGAAATCATTCACAAACATGACTCTTACTGCCCAGATTGAGAAAGCAACTCCTTTCATTTTTGGGATGTGCATGATGAGCTTATTAGCCAAGGGGTGCCCGGCAGCGGCTTGGAGCTATATGCTTTGCACTGGGACTCAAGCTGTGACGTTTGGGGTGTTCCTCACTGCAGAGCCAGCCTGGCAGCAGGGGGAACGACTTGTCAGGGACTGCAGGCAGGCAGATTGAACGAGATAATCTTCAAGAGTCAGCTGACAAAACAAATATGCAGTAAGTCGTCTTAGCTGTAGCCCAGCCCTGATCTTTGTTTCAGGCACTGCCCATCTCTCATTATGTGTATGATTTTACAACACTTCCTTCAAAGCAATTAATTTTTTGAGTGCAAAAAGAGATCCAGTGGGGGAAGATCTTTAAAGGCGGGGTTTGTAGGAAGGGCTGGCTTTTGTTGTTTCTCTCTTAATTTAGTAACCAGAATAAAATGTTCTTACGTAGCTGGAGTTCTGCTGGTTATCCTGCATTACTTTTAGAATTGGTATGTGGCTGTGTAAAGCCTCTAATAAAATGTCTTGGAATTGCTTCAGAATTTGCAGTTTCTGAGTTTTGGGTTTGGAATTATCTTCTCTCCACACTAACGCCAGTTGCTATATGAGTCTTTGCGGGAATTACTGAAAGTGGGTTTATTTGACTGCACTCCAGATTCCCACTTTGTGTTGCCTTTCATTAGTGACTTACAGATCAACTTCAGAAGTAGGCTGAGATGCAGTGGGAGAGACATTAACAGAATTCAGCTGACCCACGGTGACTTTGGAAGCTTAATTTGCAGTTTCTCATGAGGAACTTAGTGAGGGCTAAGTTGAACTTAAACTCAGTGATCGTCACCATTTCTACCTGGTGCATTTGGCAGTACCATGAGCTCCTGAGCTCTTCCTCTCCTTCTTGTTGCCACTTCCGTGCATGCCCTCCAGCTGCCCTGCATGGAAAAGCCTTCACTCAGCAGCTCTGCCTGGCACCCACTGCAGCCTCTCCTGCTGAGGTGCTTCCATTGCTCTTTCCTGTCCCTGCAATCATTTTTCATGGAAACAATAGGAATAGGTGCAGATACAGATTTTGAAACTACAGTGGATTAAAAAATGAAAACAAAAAAAAATCCACAAATGTGATGACAAAGAGGGGAATTTTGCTTTTTGGGGGAAGTTAAGATTCTGAAAAGCTGTTATTGTTAGGTCTGAGCAATGTTATGCTGGTAATGGATCTGTGGCTTCTGGTAGCGAGTTGTGGATGTTTCTATTTAGTGTACTGCATTATGCAGTTAATACAGTGTCATTAACTCAACCTTACAAGAATGTTGAAACAAATCTAGTGCTGTAACAGACCTCGTGGTACTTGAATGCAGAAGCAGGCTTAGCAGCAGAAGGGGATACTGAGTGATTGTGTGAACAGTGCAACGCACTGATTGATCATCTTGAATTTATGATTTCTTTGTGATAAATTCTCTGCTAGGGTCGCTTTTCAAACAACCAAAGAAAAACAAAAACCACTCACCCAAGCCCAGCACAATAAGTAGAGCCTTACTTTACTGGATGTGTGTTAACTGAAATAAGTGAAACTTTCTGCTCCTGGTTCATCAGTATGGAGCAGTCGGTAGGGAAAATCGCTTTGAGTGTGCTGGTCTTATGGTGTAATACTGCAGGTTAGTGCTGCAGCTGCTTGCTCTTTTCTTAGAGCTCATGTCCCAGCATCTGTATGGATACAGAGTTCTGCTCACAAGCATTCTGGAGCCAGGAGGTAGCTGCGTGTCTCAATCCTCATACTTACAACACCGAGCCCTCTGAGAGCGATTGCTCCTGAAATGTGTTTCTGTTGTTGGCTGTAGAAGTAAGTTCTGACAAGGATTGTTGAAAGCATTGTTTATTTGTTTATTTTCTCCTTTCACAGATCACAGCAATGGCTCATTTAATTTGAAAGCCCTTTCAGGAAGCTCCGGCTACAAGTTTGGAGTCCTTGCAAAAATAGTGAATTACATGAAGGTATGGTGGTTTCATGTAAAAATATAATGTTTGGAAATGCTTTAGTTAATTTTTCTCTGTGATAATAAAAAGATGCTGAATATTTCAGGCCGTGAGGTTTCTTTACTGTGCAGGAGCAAGAATTTCAAGAAACTAGGCTGTTAAATTTAAAATGTTGTCAGTAAACAAAGGGCCCATTATTTAATTCATTTCTGGAATCCCAGTTATTCCAGGTCTGCTTAAAACCAGGAGAATAGTTTTTCTTTGCATTAGAAGTAGGAATTTGAAGATGCCATCAGCTTTCAGGATTCGTGAGCTGTTTATCAAAATAACTTGTGACTTGGTGCTTGACAGATAATTTTATCATTTATCTCAGCTGACACAAACTGATTTTTCTCCTCATCCTCAAAGACCTAAAGTTGGTACTGATATGCTACGTGTGTTGTGTCTCTCTTGGTTTTACAGGAATTGTTCTGTCATCACTTTCTGCCAGGTTTTGTTACTCTCTGGTAGCTGAGCTGCTGAATAAAGAACTACCAAACACTGATTGATCCTCTTTCTTTTTCCAGACTCGGCACCAGCGTGGTGATACACATCCATTAACTCTAGAAGAGATTTTGGATGAAACGCAGCATTTAGATATTGGACTCAAACAGAAGCAGTGGTTAATGAATGAGGTAAAGAAAAGCTTTTGATTGGAGATTGAAGGATAGTGATAAACCTGAACTTTATCTGTTTATTTAATTGTAGACTCTATAAATATTGAAATTCTGCTTCTGAAAAGCTGCATTGGTTCGTGTTTCTGTCTTGTGCCTCCTGCTATAGAAATTACTGAAATGAAAGCTACTCTGACATTTTTAACGATCAATTACTGTTACTAGAGTTAAGAGTAAGTTGTACGTCAAGTGAATTTCTTCATTGCTAATTTTATAGGAACAAGTTGTTGGTTTTTTGGTTTTTTTTTTAAGAAATTAATTTTAAACAAAGTTCAAGTAGAGAGCTCTATCAGCATAAAAGATTTAAATTGCTTAAATGAAAGACTTAAAATTCATACTTCAAGACCCTTGTTGTTTACTGAATTGAAGAATTCTATTGTGAAATCTGTGTCTGGAATTGTGGGGTAATAGATCTCAAAGTTCCCCTGCTGGAGTTCATCAGTGTCATGATTTATGCTAGGTTTCATTCTTACAGAGTCACTGCAACTTGCTGCTGTGTTCATCTTCATGCTTTATCGATCCAAATGTCTTCATGGCATTGCAAGATAGTAAATCAACAAAATCCTATATTTGGTATTTATACTTTATCAAGATCTGGTTTTGGTGGTATGGTACTTAGAATCCTTGCAACAAAGTAGTAAAGGCTGTTGATACATGCTGGGGAGGGAATCTCTGTAGTAAAAGTAGGATGTTTTTAATTATGTTTTTAATTAATACTAATATTCTGGAGAACAGAAAGCTGGCAATGCTGCTATTATGAAAACTTGGCTCCACTGAAAGCTTTGAGGAGTAGCTCCAGGTTGTTTCCATAACAAATCAGAATTTTGAGACTGAACCAAAAAGCTCATATGAAATTATCACTGAGTTGGTAATCCATGATGATACTGCGTGCACTGCAAAACTGATTTGGACCAAATCTTAAATCATTTCAGTTGTCCGTGAGTTTCTGGTCAGCTTCAGTGTGAAGCAGCATCATAAGTAAACTCCTACGGTGCAGCATTGCTGTCTGCTCTTCTCAGTTTCTGCTACAGCTGCTGGTGCCAATTGGCAGCAGTTGGGGAAGACTGACTTGTGTTTTGTTCGTGCCAGGATAATGCCTTTCACATTTGTAACATCCATACGACCCAAGTTTGATCTGCCAAGTTGTCTGTTGGCACTTTATCTTCAACCAAAGCACACTTTTTCTTGTGTTCCATCTTTTTTTTATTGTCATGCCTTTCTCAAAAAGGAACACACGTGCCTTCGAGACTTGAAGCTCCTTCAAGCCCAAAGGCATGAAGTGAATGATGCTAAGCCTCCTTTGGTGCTTTGTGCTGTATGTCGCTGTGAATTATGCCTAGGCTGGATCTGAGATCCAAGGATTTAAAATTTGTTTCAAATTCAAACCTCCAAACTGTCAGCTGTAACACGTGGCTGACGTACTGTAGCTACTGAAGTACTAGTTTGTTCTCTTTTTTAAGCTTTAAAATTTATATTCCTATTACAGGCTCTAGTCAACAATCCAAAAATAGAAGTTATAGATGGGAAGTTTGCTTTCAAACCCAAGTACAACTTGAAAGATAAAAAGGCTCTGCTCAGGCTCCTGGACAAGCATGACCAGCAAGGGCTGGGAGGAATCTTTTTAGAAGAAATTGAAGAAGGGCTACCCAATGCACATAAAGCTATAAAGGTGAGTCATGCTTGTCTGGACTTCAGCAAAACTCTTCTGGGTAAGTTCTCAAAGGGGAAGTAAAAGCTAAGAGAGAATTTTCTCAGAGTTCTTTTTGTTCTTTTGGTGATTCAGAAGGTCTGATTTAGTAAAGAAGTTGCCTTTTTTCCTGTATGTCATCCTTTACGTTTAGAATTGACCTGACATCTCAGCACAGCTGTCTAAGCTTTCTCACAAAAGGTGCTTTATTTACTACGTTGCAACTGAAGGCATATAGTTGTGTTTTTATACCTTGATCTTGGCCCTCCATATCTCATCTTCATTTTATTAATGCATTTATTGATGGTGTCCACTTTGGATGCTTTTTGTTGCTTGTTACTTTGCTGCTCTCCAATTCATTGATCTCTTTGTGGAGCAAGATCTGGGTCTGTTATTCTTCATGTAGAACTGATTTGGGATTCTTCTTTTGCATTTGTTTTCAAGGCTTTAGGGGACCAAATTCTCTTTGTTACCCGCCCTGATAAGAGGCAACTTCTTTACTACAATGACAAGAGCTGTCATTTCTCTGTGGACGAAGGTAAGTGTTTATTTACATCTGTATCCATGGTTTAAATTTAACTTAGACAGTTGAATGTCTTTTGATATGATAAGAAAATATTGGTGTATCTAGGTTCTGTCAGCAGAATGGTATATATTAATGTGAGGATAACAAGACTAGCAAAGAAGTTCAGGGATAATAACCTCTGTTTTCTATTGGATGCATTGGTACATGGCACCAGGAACCCAACAATTCAAGTGTAGCAGAACGGAAAAGAGGAAGAGTTGCCTGTCTGTGGCTTAGATGGCATCTAACATTTTGCTGCATAAAGGCAGATGAAGAACAATGGAATTTCTTCTGGGTTTGTGTGCTGCTTTTTTTCCCAGCTTATTAATCATGTACTTTTGTTGGTGAATGCAATGAGGAACCAGAAATTGAAGAGAAGGAACAAGCAGATAGGGAGGAGATGTGAGCAAAAGTGCTGGGTTTACAACTGGGAGGGCAGCGTGGGTGGTGCTGCTGCCTGGAGCTGGGAGTGGAACTCCAGAACTTCAGCATGTATTTTTTATCTAGCAAATAGTGGTAAAGTCCTCTGGCAACAACGTGCCCATTGGCTGAACGCAGCAAGAGTCCAGGTTATGCAATAATAATGTATCTGCAGAAATTAATTACGCCTGTCAGGGTGTGTTGCAATGATGATGTCAGAGCCAGCATCAGATATCTGTAATTACAGAAGGGAGAAGGCATTCCCTAGTAAAAGACCTTATTTTAAATGACTCAAGGACACTGAATACTTAATGTTGATCGCTTGTTCTGTAACAAGCGTCACATTATTGTAAAAGAAGGAAAAAGTTTTGATTGGACCTTAAACTGCTGTATGTGCAGGACCATAGAACAAAACGTAAAGTACTTTTTTCTTTGAATAACTCAGAGAAACACTTTATTTTAAACAGAATCATGCAGTTCTTTGTTACATACCAGACTTGTACTCTCAGTTAATAGCTTAGTTCTACAAAGGTAATTTAGTAGATGTCACTGACAGCATTTAAAAATATAGTTTCCAAATATTATTTTAAACTGTAATTTCGTTGTTTCTTTATAGTGGGAGTCCTAATAATATGTGAAATGAAGGATCATAAGCCTCAGTCGGCCTTTATAGGGGAATTTGTAACTTCCCAAATGCCTACAAGTTTACCATTAATACTGTCAGCCTGTTCAGATTGTGTTTCTTCAGTCCATCAGCCCATGGCTTTTAGGATTCCTAACTTTGCCAAAACCTTTAGAAATCAGCTCTCCTGCAGACAAAGCTTTTAAGTTTTTTAGCAGCTACTGGTTATGTTACAGTCCCAATTGCTGATCATTTCTTTTCCAGATAATTGGCACCCAGCCATTCTAAAAGAGTTAGCAGAATCTCTATTCTATTGCTTTCAGTTTATGATAACTCCTGAATTGATGGTGAAATTGAATCAAAAGGTCCATTTTATTGAGAAGTTCTAAAGAAATCTACCAGCTCTGTCGGGGAGCCAGTACAAATCCAAAGCTGTTTGTATACAGTCTTCATATATTCTAGCACATGCAGCACTGATCAGTGGTTAGGAGCAAGCAGTGCAGACCTTTGCTATAAAATAAGGGGAAATGTTTTGTTAAAAAAAAAAAACAAAAAAACCACAACCAAACAAAGCACAAAAACACCAACAGAAAACGTAAAGTGTTTAAGCCAGTTGGCTCGGTCTCCCAGTGAGAGGCATGAAAGCCCCTCATGTCTGTGATGAAGGGACCACGAGCGTGCAGTGTTTGTAGTTCAAGGTGGCCTTGCTTGCTTTCATCCGCAGATGGCAGCATGTTCCCATCTGCACAGAAAGGGATTTTTTTGTTGTTCTTTTGTGCTTTTTCGCTTTTCTTTGTCATGCAGAAGATAATGCTTTGTTCTGAGAGAGGAGGCAGAATTTTCTCTCTTTTGTGCAATTTGTGATCTGCCTGCATATGCTACAACTCTTACAACATT